CGGGCCCTAGAGATCAGGAGGAAAGTCTGGAGCAAGGACTACGTACCCTCGGTAGAAGAGGAACTGGTCAGGGAATACTTCAACAACTTGGACATACATAAATCCATGGGTCCTGATGGAGTGCACCCTTGCGTGCTGAGGGAGCTGGCAGATGTCATTGTGAGGCCACTCTTTATAGTATTTGAATGATCATGGTGACTTGAAGATGTGCCTGAGGACTACAGCAAAGCAAATGTTTCTATGATCTTCAGAAAGGAGGACCCAGGGAACTACAGTCTGGTCAGCCATACCTCCATCCTTGGGTGGGTAATGGGAGTAACTAGGCCTGGGAACCACTCCAGGCATATGAAGGACAAGAAGGTGATCAGGAGTAATCAGCATGGATTCACCAAGGGGGAGTCATACTTGACCAACGTGATAAACTTCCGTGGTGAAATGGCTGGCTTGGTAGACAAGGGGAGAGCAGTGGCTGTTGTCTACAGTTCGTTGTCTTCAGTAAGGCTTTTGCTGTTTTCTCCCATAAGATCCTCATGGAGAAGGTAGTGAAGTATGGGCTGGATGAGCATCCTTGAGATATTCAGAAACAGCCTGGGCTTGGTCCTGGGCTCTAGGTTGCTCTGCTTGAGCAGAGGAGTTAGACAAGATGACCACCAGAGGTCACTTCCAACCTCATTCTTTCTGTGATTTTTGTGAAAGTGGGGACTGTAGTTGCAGTGTAAAGCAGCAGGCAGTTAAAGTTCCTAGCACCTTGTGTTGCTTTGCTCCTGTGGCTGCTCTGCAGGAAGCAGCAGAGAAAGTAGCATGTATGGCTCTCCTAGAGAGATCATAGAGTCATAGAGTGGTTTGGGTTGGAAGGGACATTAAAGCTCATCCAGTTCCAACCCCAGTGCCACCAGCAGGGACACCTTCCACTAGACCAGGTTGCTCAAAGCCTCATCCAACCCGGCCTTGAACACTTCCAGGGAGGAGCATCCACAACTTCTCTGGGCAACCTGTTCCAGTGTCTCACCACCCTCACAGTAAAGAATTTCTTCCTCATATCTCATCTCAATCTCCCCTCTTCCAGTTTGAAGCCATCACCCCTTGTTCTATCACTACCTGCCTTTGTAAAAAGTTCCTCACTGGCTTTCTTGTAGCCCCTTCAGGTACTGGGAGGCCGCTATAAGATCTCCCTGGAGCTTTCTCTTCTCCAGGCTGAACAGCCCCAACTCTCTCAGCCTGTCCTCATAGGAGAGGTGCTCCAGCCCTCGGATCATCCTGGTGGCCTCCTCTGGACTTACTCCAGTTGGCCCATACATGACTACAGTCAGTGACAGCTCCAGTCAGTGCTGTGGTGTTTTATACACTTTCAGAGCAGCTACATGACCAGAAATCCAGAATGAAACTCCTCTGTCCCTTTGTTTCGAAAACTCCTCATGTTCTTTTTGCATTTTTGAGCCTGGCATTCCTTGATTTTTACTTTCATCAGATCTTCAGTCTTAATATTATTATTTTGTACCTGTAAAAGGTTTGCAACACTTGCTGAGCAAGCAATCAAAATGGTTTTTTCTTCTCTCTTGCTTTTCAAAATAATGGTGAAAGAGAACAGAGAAGTATCTGCAAAAGTTTTATTCATAGGCTAGATGAAATAAAAACCTGATGCTGTCTGTAAATGCAGATGGACTTAACGTGTTCTATCTCCATGTGAGCAAAATAACACTGGTAATTGAACAAATCTCATTAACAGCAAGAAAAAAAAATCCCTCCTGTTAAATATAGAAGGAAAAATGAACTGTTGCTTTCCTCAGCTGCACTAGGTACATCTAATCTTTATATAGATTTATGTCATCAGTGATCAGATGCTGCTGGGGTAAAGAAAGCCTGTCCATGTGTACAGGATATACATCAAGGTGCTAACTGTGTTACAGCAAAAAAAATCCAAGCAGTCCATAGCTGGAGGTAACATCAGTCTGTGAAGCAGTGAAAGGAGTTGAAGAAATAATTTGCT